TCGATTCAATGAGGTGTCGGCTTTTCTGAGGAGATCTTTCGGAGTTTCATTTTTGGTTTTTCCTCCCATCCTTAACCCCCTTATATATGGCCTCAGCACACGTGAAATTCGAACAAAAGTAATGAAAAAAATCTCCTACATTTCCACAGCTGAGGCATGACAAGTAAATGTTTGAAAAATTGATATTGATTTTATTATTTATATATGAATTGTGTTTATGTGAAGGGGTTTAGGGGACTTTTTTAAGTTATACATTTTGTAATAAAGTGAATCTATTACAGTTATATTTCAGTAAAATTAAGGTGATGAATGCTGTGCTGACAACTTTCAGAAATGATTTTCAAAAATACATATTTATAAAATGCGAATAAACCTGAATAAATATGGCAAGAGTGTATATGAAATGTATATAAAATATTATAGAACAATTCTTTATACAATATTGTCTGAACCAATGGTAAAATATTAATGCTTTCTCTATGAGAAACACTATAAATATACTGAAATATCCTTCAGTATACATCCGGACTGTATAATCTATAATTTGGCCTCTTTTTTAACCTACTTCCCCTCAAATTTCACTAATAACTTTATTACATTTTCATTGCATTGCAGTCAAAGTTAAATTCTCGCATTATGAGACATTCAAAGGTTTATAAAAACTCCCTGTCCATTTATTCTGGAAACAAACATACACATTAAAGGTCATGAGTTTGAGATGTATGTCCCCCAGCACTGCTGCCTCATGCCTGCAGGGGTGGGGTTTGAATCTCGTCTCTGCCCCTGTATGTGGGGTTGATATGTTCTCTGCATGTCACAGATGTCCCCTCTGGATGTTCTGGTTTTCTTCTACAGCCCAAAGACATGCCGTTCACTTGTCTTTATGATGCCTAAAGTGTGAGTGTATGTGCTCTGCAATGGACTGGCATCCCCCCCAGGCCGTGCCTCTGCCTTTTGCCCTATGCTGCCTGGGATAAGCCCCAGTCACCCCTCCCCTCTCAGGACAAGATGTGCCCAGAACTGCTCTCTTGGCAGCTGACCAAGTTCCATCTCTTTAAGATTCCTGAATCAACTTGAGCAGAGGCTCGATTCAAGATCCCTCCAGATCTCTCAGTGTCTCACCCAGTGAAGGAAGGTCAGCCTGCAACGTGTCCCTCTCGTACCAGGCTAGGCCTTGTCTCAGAACACCTGGAATTTAAGCTCTGTGATATGTGCATGTGTGATCCTACAGTCGTTACAAAAAAAATAACAGGTTGGCTATACAAAAATATTTAAAAATGAAGCGACCCTAGTCACAACACACGTCCAACAGGCAAAACACAACCAAGTGTTTAACGACATGCTATTTTGTTTGACGGATCCTTGGAAGGCATCCGACATTCACCAAACATAATTAAAGTTCATAGTCACATTACAAGCAAACACAACAATAACAACTTACCTGTTTCCTCCAAACTGGTCGCGGAGATCAATGCTCCAGTCACCTGGTTAGCAGGTCTGCTTCCAAACACCAAGTCCATGATATTTGTTTTTAGGACAGCCAGCACCATTTTTATTTAGCTCTCTTTTCAACTCTTTCATTAAAAAAAATCTTGTTTGCAACTTGCTCTGTTATTCTGATAACCCCTGTCTGCTCCAATTCACTCCGCATTTCCGCTCTGACGACTCTAACTCCGTCTCCTGACATCACACACTCTTAATTCTGGCCCAGCAGTCTTTTGGGGCTGGAAGAATGAGCTCCAGCCCAGATATATCAGCCCAGCGCCGCTGTTCCTTTTGGTGTGAATGCAAAGCCCGGCTTATGAGTCCTAGCAGTCCTGACTGTCCTAGCAGTGCACTTCACACCACTTAATGTTTCCCATTCTTTTTGAAGGTCACTTGAGGTCATCCTCCGATTCATGAGGCACTGCCGGATAAGTTAACAATCATCTCTGGCATTAGAAAGTTGCTTCTGCCCTCTACCTGGCTGGTTTTAGTCATTGCCAGTGTCTCCTGCTTCACCTTGTTTTTACGTACTGCTGTCTTAGAAACTTTGAGCCTGAAAGCAACCTGCCTCACAGCTCAGCCTTCTGCCAGCAGAACCAGGATTGGACCAGAATTTAAGAATGCAGATTCTTAAAATATATATTGTGGTCTCTTAATTTATTCCAGAGCTGCAGTTTAGAGCACAGGTAATGTGGATGCGTTGTGGGGCTCAGTGGGTTAGGATGCAGTCCCTGTGATGGGAAGGTTGCCAGTTCAAATCCCTGGGTTGGTGGAGTGGTTTCACCATCGAGCCCCTGAATGAGGCCCTTGATCCTTGATGGCTTCAGGGGTAGTTAATTAAAATGTAGATTGTTGTAAAGAAAACTATCTGCTAACAAAATCTGATGTAAATAATCAAGGTGAATATGATGACAGCATGACTTTGAAATGGTCTGTTGTGGAGAATTACTGTGATGAAAGAGTCAGGCTTTTGTATGACTTCCATTCATGTGCCTGCAGGCCAGCTATGGTGACGATACAGTTCTGTACAACAGGTATAGAGAAATAACTTCAGCAAACACATAGTGCCAAGATTCAGACAATTACACAACTGTGAGCTGAGTAAACAACACTGGGTACGGCAGTAATGCAGGACTGCGTGTAGCTTGTTCTCTGTTTACCTGAGCACCCTCTAAGACCAGTGAGTGACACTCCACTGCTGAGGAGATGAAATAAAAGACACTGTCCTCTGCAGTGAGGAGACACTGAGTGTAGACGCATCTTGCATTTGATGGAAGGAATGGAATCTTTTCTAATATTTCCTTTTTATTAAGAGTGGGTGATGTATTCAGCAGTGAAACATGTTTTGTGTAGAATAATGTGAAGATTGTCATATTATATATTATGATAAAAGTTTTCTTGCTTATCATTTATTATTCTTTGTCTCTGTTTCAGCAAGGCATTAGCAGAACTGAAATATATCTGGACAGATGCAGTTTAATGGGCCAAAACTACCGTTCTTCTTGACCATGGAACCTCTGGGCTTGTCTCCTGTCTATCCAATGTTCCTTCTTGGACTAGCAACCTACTGCCTCATACTGGTCTTCAATCTCACCCTCATCCTCACCATCGCCCTAAACAGGCAGCTGCACAAGCCCATGTTCTTGCTGCTCATCAACCTCCCCATCAATGACATCATGGGAGCCACTGCCTTCTACCCTCAGCTGATCACCAGCCTCCTCTCCCAGGATGGCACCATCTCCCAGCCAGCGTGTTTCCTCCAGGCACTGTTAGTGCACCTGTATGGAGGTGGTACCTTGCTCATTCTGACTATTATGGCATATGACAGGTATGTCGCCCTCTGCTGTCCGTTCAGGTACAGTGTGATCATGTCTTCTGGTAAAGTGGCCAGGATCATTGCTGCTGTGTGGCTGACAGATATTATTGTGATTGGAACTATCTTCTGTTTGTTTGTGAAGTTAAGGTTCTGCCGGTCAGCCATTACAGACATGTACTGCAACAATCCCTCTTTGATGAAACTGATGTGTGAGGACCTAAGTGTCAATAACTATTATAGCTGTTCAGTGCCTTTTTCTAGCAGGGAATAGAGCTGTTTGCCACGTTTTTCCCACATACTCATATGACCGTTTGTGTAAATAAATACGTCGATGCTAAGAGCCAGACATTTCCTGGTTTTTATTCTCTATGAGCTGCCTGCCTTATTCTCTGTCATCCCACAGCGACTCACCAGTGTGTCACCTTTTCTGAAGAAATCACTCGGGTCACAGATTTTACGTTCCCTCCCATCCTTAATCCTCTAATATAGGGTGTCAACACAAATGAGATTAGGAGCACAGTAATTTTGAGGTGTCCTGGGAAGTAAATATTTGACTTGCACTTTAATATTTAGATTTTCAATTTATTTTAACAAGGTATACATATGGTGTCTACACTGACATATTTGGAAGATGTTATAATCAGAAGACTGTACAAAAAATTAGTTCCTTCACTTGATTAAACCAGAACAACATGATGATGTGTCGGACTGTTGCTTCACACTTGCTGGGGTTTCCTGTTCTCCCCATGTTAAATGGGTCTCCTCTGGCTGCTCTGCCCACAGTCCAAAGCCATGCAGTTAGGTGACACACGGGACCAGGACCGCAAGACATTAACACAACCGAGGAAACTGGAAAGACAAGGACAAGACTTCGACCCATAGGGGAAACAGAACCGATCAGTGGAACATAAGACACCATGACAGGGCAGACAGAAAAGGGAACATAACAGAGGACAGGACCAGAGGACTGGGACAGTACAGAGTACTGATAGGGAACCAGGGAGAACGAACCACGGGGATTCCACTAGGGGAAGTGATTGGAGACATGGAGAACGTAAGATTGACACGGGTAAGGGAAGGAAAGAGGTATGAAGGGATATCGAGACATAAACCCTGGAACAAAAGAAGGGGGTGCAGAACCAAAAGATTGTCCACAGACGCTCAGGAAGCAAACGAAGGCCAGAGAGTGCGTGCCACTGTGGGTCAAACAAGTGTGGACGGTAGGAGGTGGATGGAGTAGATGATACTGGTACCTTTGCGTCCTTTAAAGGACTAGCAGATGTGGATGAGCTGGACCAAAGGGAGCTGGAGGGAACCATGAACGAGGTCTGGGTCTCTGACGAGTTCCCTTGGGTACAGAGAGCCTTCTCTATCCTCTCTGACACCATCCCCGAGGCTGCTGGCTGCCCCTGGACCGGGTGATGTGGGACTTGAGCAGGGTTATGTGTCCAAGGTAGCTGTTGGTGAGATGGGTGCTGACGAAGAGGCCAGGGTACCAGGGTCCGGAAATACTGCGGGAAACCAGGTTCTGGAGATGCTGCAGGGTAACTGAGTTCTGGCAAGCCAGCCAGAGAACCAGGCTCTGGCAAAACAAGTGGGACAACAGAAACTAGGGACCTGGGCTCTGGAGACCCCAGAGCTGGCAAAGTGGCAGCAGGCAGGACAGGCGCTGGTCAGTCTGGCACTGGAGGCTCGGAGACCAGGGAGTCAAGAACCATGGACAAGACGACAGGAGACCCAGGAAGCCAGGGGCTGGCAGATCAGCCAGGAATTCAGTGGGGTGCCAGGGGATTCTGGTGCTGGTTTACCAGGCACTGGACAAGTGACTGGTGTGGTAGGTGCTGAAGAAAAGGCTAGTGGAGCAGGAGTTGGAGAAGCAACCTCCTCTGGACTGGGTGCTGGAGACTCAGTCAATGAGACCACCTTGGGGCCTGGAGTTTGGGACTCTGGCGAGACTCACTCTGGGCGTAGAACTTTGGACTCAAGTGAGGCCTCTGCTGAGGAGTTACATGTTTTTGATATGGCAGCCAAAGAGGAGGACACTGATGGCAGAGCGGCAGTGGACGAATCAGACGCTGGCAACAGAGCAGCCTCGAAGACAGGTACTGGAGAAGAGGCCTCTTATACACCTAAGAATATAAACACAGATGGGATGAGACACGGACGAAGCTTCCTAGGCACCTGGAGCAAGTGACGCAGCCTCCTCAGGACCTGGAGTGGACAACGCAGCAGCAGAGTCAGACGCTGGTAGTGGGGCAGCAGCGGATGGGTCTGATGCTGGAGGTAGAGAGGCAGTGGAAGGGTCTGATGCTGTTAGTGCAGCAACAACAGACGAGGCTGAAGCTCACGCCAGAGCAGCAGCAGGTAGGAAAGAAGCTGTTTGCTTGGCGGCAGCAGGCAAGTCAGGCACTAGCTGCAGAGCGGCAGCTAACGAGACAATCGCACAGGTGGGTACTTGTATAGAGGGAAAAAGTTGGGGCACATGGGGCTCAGTGGGCTAAGCGTCTGGGCCTCTGACCAGATGATGGCTGGTTCAGGCCCGACCTTAGCACATCTGCAGTTTCTTGAGCAAGGCCCTTCGCAGCCAGCTTGTTCTCACTTACAGAGAGTAAGTCAGGGGAGGCATAACAGAGAATTTCCCCAATGCGGATCAATGAAGTATCAATTATTATTATAACGAGGACCAGAAGAGGGACTGATGTGAGTGATTAGGAGCCAAAGTGGAAGATGACAGGAAAGACAAAGGCAGACTATGACAACAATGCAACAAGGAGTC